CTATTTGTATCCGGCAGCAGAATGGTTGTTAGCTTTACATGCTGCTCACAGGAGTAATAACATTCTTTTTAACACAAGACACAAGTAATATGTAACTATTTACAGTGGGGGGCAATTTGAGAAAATCTAGAGCAGCTCTGCATGGCGACCAATCTGCTTCTATCTTTCATTTTTAAAACTCAATTGAACAAACTAAAGAGAGAATCTGATTACTGTGGGCAGCTGTTCCAGATAGGCTCTGCTCCAATTGTGATTCCCCCCAGTGTTATTCCTGAGACAGCCTTGTGTGTGGTACATGCTTCAAATGATAAGTATTTTGAGTGAGGAAAGAGTGAATGCTTGGGTTGGCAAAAACGTTAAAGCCAAACTCCGAGGAAAAGTGCTAATTTACACACTGTACTGGGTGTGTAGATTATCACTACAGAGCTGTATGTTGTGTGTGGACGGCGGCTACAAAGTATAAAAATCTTACCTATCAACATGCTGTCTCCTACATATAACTCTGGTTTTCTGTGCCCTGCGGGGAGTGAGGGATACAGTGTGGTCCCTCCTCACTACTTGCCCATCCACAGAATGCCTTGTATTTTTCTCCAAGAATACATGGCATTCTGTGATTGGAGGTAGAGAGGGCGGGGATTTGACACCATCTGTACTCCGCCAAAACAAAAAATGCCTTGTTTTCTTTGAGAAAAATACAAGTCATGTTTGTGAATGGTCAAGTAGCAGGGAGGTGACTGGAGCACTTGACTTCTTGAGTTGCATCTTTCACTCCCCGCAAGGCCTGGGAGCCGAGAGTCATATGTAGGAGCCAGGTTTATACTTACTTTCTTGATGCCCTCCACACAATAACCTCTTTGTAAGGTTAATTGTTACAGCCAGTTCAGTGTGTAAATGATCATCCTTTCCCTAAGTTTGGTTTTAATACCTACTTTAAAAAATGTGTCGGTATGACCTTCTACCCTGACGTCCAAAACAAAGAAAGTTGTATCAAAACTTTTAAAAAGTTATTACACCATTAAAGGAGAACTATGGGGATAGTGCTTTTCCCCATAGTTCTCCGAAGGGTAACGGGAGGACACAAACTAGCGCCCTCCCATCACCCAAAGCTCAGTATACCGCGAGCTACAGCTCATTATATACTGAGACGCCGCAGCTGAAACGGATCCCGACAATTTTGTCTGGATCCGTCCAGCTGCGTGAGTGACAGCTGGCTCGGCCTATCTAGAGGCATCTAGTGACAGAGCCAGCTGTACCCGCCTCCTCCCCCGTCCGTTCCGCCAGTGAGCACTGGTGGATCGGAGGGGGGAATCCAGCCACTCCCCTGTCATGGCAGAGAGCCGTGACAGGATCGAGAAGTGAGCGAACGCCGGTATGTGTTCGCTCACTTCCCGATCTACTGAGCCAACCTGTGACAGTCTCATTGTCACAGGACAGGTCGGCTAGAACTATGAGAATGAGTGAAAATCACTCACCTCATAGTTCTCCTTTAGGCTTTGTTCACACCATGGTGTACATGGAACGCACTGAAAGCCCATGTTAAACTAAAAAAAAAAGTAATAATGTTTTTTTAAAACCAAAAACGGCCCGGAACGCATCAAAAACGCGGCGCAACCCACTGCACTGCGTGTGCAGAAACCTGAGCGGATCTGCTCAGCATTTGGTGTGAACAAGGCCTTAAAGACTATTCACACTTAGTGCTTGTTCACACTAAATGCAGTGCGTTCCAGAGGGGTAGCTGCTGGAACCCACCGAAATCCCTCGCAAAAACTTCCCCCTGCGTTCTGGGGCGGGAGGGGGCGTAGCGTTGTATTGAATTCAATGGCACCACTTCCACTACCTTCGCCCCCCTGACCGCAGTGCGATCGGACGCGTGGCAAAACTTTGCTTCCATTCCACTGCAAACGCAAACAATAGAGCAAGCAGCGCGGAATCGGTGCCATTGAATTCATTGGCACCAAATGCTACCGCTCTGGAATTCATTGGCACTAGAGCTACCGCTCTGGAATGCACCGCATTTGGTGTGAACAAGCCCTTAGGTGCTTGGGGTGTGTTTTTAATATATTGCTTTTAGTGTGGGGTTTTTTGTGTGCTTTATGATGCATTTTACAAGATGTTTCTTTGGCTTTCCACCAGGAATGTCCTTTTTTTGGTGCAGATTATTGCATCAAAGCACCTGCATAGTGTGTGTAAGCGAATGTGTTTTTAGTGCGTTAGATACAGTTAAAGGTGTGTTAAAGCTTGGCAAAGCATGCCCTCTGTTTCAATAGTCAAGGTCAACTTTCTTCAGGTCCGGATGGCAGATTTGTCTTCTTTCCAGTTGCATAAGCCGCGTTGCTTCCTCTGTGATATCAGTATCTATGTTTAGTCTCTTTTTTTTTTTTTTTTTTTTTTTTATAAAACAAATAGGTTTATAAAAAAAAAAAAAA